TAATATTGCACTTTGATGTTTGCAGTGGGGAGCCAGCCACGCATGTGCTATCAAATGATAGGCGTACAAGTGATGAGAAGCAAAGAATACATGATGGAAGCCCATCATGTGTGCATGTGAGGAATTACATTAGAAAGATAACAGCAACTTTGAACAGCAACCATGTGTGCAGCAGCAAAGTCACATGATTTACCACAGCAAAAGAAGTATAAAGCATGTTGTTGGCTGACACAAGATATGAGATTCAAATGCCAATATGCCTACAAGTAATGAGCAGAGAAACATAAAGAAAAGAAAGAGGGATGGCAGCTGCCAAAAGAAGAAAGATAATGAAAAAGAATGTTGAGCTGCAGCTTACATGTGAAGAAAGCATGGGTATTTGTGGTCAGCCAAAAATAAAAAGAAATAAAAAGATGTTGATGTAATGATATAACCCACGTTGGTAATGGTTTAATAGCAGCTGCAAAAGGATCTCACTCCTCTATAAATAGAGACCAACACAATGGAAGAGGTGTGCAGAATTTGTGTAAGAGTTTTGGCACCAAAATAGATAGTAGTTTAACAGCTGGGGAGCCGAGAGGCAAGGATCCAGGGAGAGGAAAAATGGCAATATAATTGGAGAGAACCTTGGGGAGCCATGAGGCAAGGAACCAAGGGGTTGATGGTGCAATTTTTCCTTCTCCTCTTTGTTCTTAATTCTTATCTTGTATTGTTATTTTATTTATGTCTAGTTAAACTTTGTTAATGATGAAATACCATTATGAAATGAAGTTCTAGTTCTTAACTTTCAATTCCCAACTATTATATTCTTCAATGTTTATAATTTCACCTTCACATGATTAATAGGTTAATTTTCTTTTCACCACTTCTATCATGTATTTGTGGTAGTTAGGAATACAAGTTAATCTATTAATGCATCCTTGGTTTTGTATTACTAATATACAATTTTCTTTGATCCTTTGTAGTTAAACAATATTTTTCACATAGGATGGCTTAGAATTTGTAATTATGAAGGGAAGGGGAATTTACATAAGATTCATAAAAATGCATGCTTAATTGATATATCTTGAGAAAGTAGTAGATTGATTTCTTGATTGCTACTCCGTAGGAATTGTTAGAGTTTATGGAATAATGGTATGGAATCTAAAACCTTAGTTTTTCCCAATTTTAGTTTATTTGCATTTTCAATTCTTTGCTTTATTTCTTTTTCTTTTTCAACTTTGAATGAACTTGGGTTGGGTTTGTTTTCCATCTTTTTCACGCACTCCCTGTGGATACGACCTCGCACTTACACATGCTTATTCTACAAACGATTCGTACGCTTGCGAGTTTTATAAATTTAAAACATGCACCTTCGGGTGGCCAACAATTATAATGGTCAAATATGCTGGTTTAATAAGGATTGGATTTTGTGAAGATTTGAACATTTCCATTACGTGAAACTTTTATGATAATCAAGGAATGTGAAGATTTGAAAGATTGGCTCAGGAAACAGAGTAAAAATGTTTCTTACATAGAAGATTATAAAAAATTAAAAAAATTAAAAAGAGGAGACTTGGAATACCAAAACATGTACAAGGTTTTTAGAAAAACGGGGGGTTTGCAATGTGAAGTAGAAATGGGGTCATTGTTTTGCTTGCAGTGAAAGAGAGAGCATTAGGAAGGAGGTACTGGAATGGGTGGTGTCAGAAAACTATACAAGATCTATCTTTCACTTCAACTAGAGGGCACACCCAGTATAAATAAACTACATTAATTTGTTCTTTTAAAAGTTTTGATTTAGTTTTACTATTCTAATTTTTACGATACGTACTTCTAGCCCGAAGCTGAAAAGGAAATGGATTCGGCCCTCAATCATTTGGTGAAGTTATATCATATTATTTTTTTTAACTGTTATTTTTTAATCTGTATAGATCCCAGGACAACATTGTTCATCACACACATCTTATTGAATTGGTTTTATTTGCAGCTAATGCAATTTATTACGCATTGTTAAGATATATCTTGAGATTCAGAATGAATGAATGCCTTTGATAAGGAGAGCTTAGGAAGTAAATATGCTAGTTGGGAATAAAAATGGTGAGCTTGTCATTGGAAAGGAGAGATTCAAAGACTGAGAATGATTTGATGGGTGCCTTAGGCTAATTTGATCAGAGAGAAATGACTCTTAGTCAGTTCACGTTCACTTGAGAAACGCTCATATCGCTCACGAAGTTGGTTTTAAAAACGGATAACTGCAACCGAGTTGTAGCATAAAGAAAAATGTTTAAATTTAAACCATTGTAACGATCTAAAGGCTATCAAGGAACCCTCTTGAATAAGCCGCACCAGAGACCACTCATTATAAACACATCGTATTTTCAAAGCTCGCGTGTTTTTTATTTTAAATATGGGTCTTATTTTAGGCTGACGTTAATTAAGGCCCAATTTTAATTTGAGTCTTATCTGATCCTACCTAGTCTAATTGTTAAATACTTACTTGTTTGGCCCAAGACAAGATTAGTGCTAAATATCCAATTCTTGTCCTAATCCATTTTAACAAATGTGTCATTGTCATTTTTCAGCCCAAATTTAGAATTACAAGAAAGAAAAGAAGCACAAATTTCATTAGCCGATTGACCGGCTCTCGATAAAACGCCTATAATATAATGTATGTATGGATATATTCTAGAGTAGGTATTTACAGTAACACGCCCTGAGGTTTCTTGTGTTTTTACAAAACTCCCTCATGTCTTAAAAATTACACAAACACCCCCTAAGGTTTCAATTTGTTTTCATAAAAACGCTTTTCCTTGATTGTTTGTCCAAAAATTGATGATTTCATTGAAACAAAACTCATGTAAATGACAAAATTAACCTCAATGAAGTATATGCAATCTAATCTCAAAGGCCAACTTTGTCATATGAAGAATTTTTTTGTATAAAATCATTAATCTTTGGATGAAAAATCAATGAAAATGAGTTTTGTGAAAACAATTTAAAACTTCAAGGGGTGTTCAAGTAATTTCTAAAACCTCAAGGAATTTTGTGAAAGGCCGAAAACCTCAAGGAGTGTAAGTGTAAATAACTTAAATTCTATCTCACAAGGGCTCATAGCAAGATGAGACTTGGCCCAGCATGGATCATGCTTAGTAAATTATGCAGAAAAATGTTGTTTAGAAACTCTCTCAAGTTCAACTGCTTTTAAAACGTTTTGGTACTCAAAGGAATCCCTCGCGTTCACACTTTAGAAGCTTAATCCAGGATTCCACTGAATTAATTATAATTAGAACTTGTAGGCCATGGTTCTGCAGAGAAGATAAACCAAAAAGTGAGCGTAAATATAATTATATAATTGCTAGGTCTCTTCTTTCCCTGAATAAAACCTGGAGCGGTTTTGGCTAATACTCTTTGACCTTAATCACCAAATCTCTGGCTGCATCTGCAATCTGTTGAGGACATAATTTACATTTTGTTTCTTCGGTAATCTGCTTTCTCTCTATATTTTATATTTTATACCAATATATATATATATAGATAAAGCTGTCCTATACGTACATGATATATTCTATTCACAACTTAAATATTGGACAACTTAAATATTTGATCTGGCGGTGGAACGTCAAACATCCAGCCACTCATACAATAAGAAAGTTTTGCATTCGGGTGGAATCAGCAGTTGCACCTTTCTTCGGCGAAAAAAGCTTTGGAGGTGTCGGAAATTGCTCCTCTACTAGTGTCCACAAACTGTTTGATAAAATGCCTCAAAGAGGGTTTGTTATTTGTTTCAAGCACAACGCGGGCGCAACAAGTTTATGTTTTCTTTTTAAATAAATAAAAATAAAGAAAGAGAAAACATGCCTTACCACGACTTATCACTTGAATTGAAGACAAAGCAATTACTAATTATTTGGTTATCTAAATTTTTAATTTTTTTTTAATAGTTTTTATTCATTTATATATCGTCCCTCCCCTAAAAAATTCTTGAATTCGCCATGTGGTACCCCAAATACAAGGCATCTCCTTATTTCTGTATGTGGCCAAACGAGTGACTTGATCTGTCGTCGTATCAAAGAATTTTTCACCTATCATTTCTTCATGAGCTAGGAATGCCACACGCGTGTAGGTAAGCCGTCATGCATCGTGGAACTGCTCGTTTATTGTGTTTAGTGGGTTTTCACATGATAACTCTCATGTGTTGGTTATGTGACCACTAGGGGGGTTGTCTACACTCGTCATATGCAAAAATTTCTCCCAAATACACATTCTATGCTAACCATCTGGTATTTAGACAACAACAAAAATGCTAACAATCAATTAATCGTGTACAAGATGTGTACTTATGTATGTATATATATGTATATATACACGAATTGGGTGTTTTTGGGTCATTTGTTTCTCCCCCTGTAGCTTTTAGTTCATGTTGGCTTTTGTGATTGTGCTTTGGTTTCTCTGCCTTGTAGCTTGTTTACCTTTGGGATTTATGAATATTTTTCGTATTTCTTTTGAGTTTGAATAGTGTAGATGATGAGATTAATCTTCAAATATTTTTAAATTTGAAATTCAGAATATGATTGTAATGAATGGATATTTTAGTAATCAATATGAAATAATAGTATGAAGTGGGCGAAAATGAGTTGTTATAGTGTAGTATTAACTAATTAACCGGTTAGTGCTTGAGCCACTGAATAAAACGATAACTCTCTCTAATTATTTTTTAAAATTTTATGAAGGGCCCCTCTAGTGTGAAATTCTGAATCCGCCACTAGATATATGTGATAACTATAAGGTCAAGCTAAGAATAAAATGTTATTTAAGATGACAGGTCAAAACTAAGGTTACCATCAGAGAGTATATATAACAGAAACAATTCAATACAAAAATATTCGGAACCACAGAATGGGAAAAAATTAATCAGAATAACTATAAATGATGGGATCAAGGCTAGCTGGCCATGCTCTCATCAACACCATATTAAATAAGAATTAACAAATGGGGGGGCATAGCGTGCCTCACAAAGACCTAGACAAGAAGATAGTCGTCGGCAGTGATGCAAACATAAGAGCTCTCTCTTTCTATAAATCCAAGACGACTTCATTTCTGCAGTAGTTTGAAGTTGCAGAGGACCAAGATGAAAAGAAAGATAATGGATCAGAAAAAAGGATCAGAGATTATGCGTGCCATTGAAGAACTGTCGGTGATGGTCGAAGTTAGAAGTGCAACATTGGTCCCAGTTGCTGAACATGGTGATGTTGATGATCATGCACGTGATCGTGATGCTGCCTTTATCAATCACGAGGCTGCCCATATTCCAACAAGGCCTTTCCTTTCTCTCTGCGGCTTGCTTCTTCAAGTTCTTGGTCTCTCTCTCTCTCTCTCTCTCTCTCTCTCTCTCACACAGAGAATACCCATTGAACCTTATAGTCGTGTACCTTTTTTGCAGATAAAATTGGACCAACAATGGCTGTTCTCAGGCAAGATATTCATCAGAATATTCGGGTAATTGCAAAACCAAGCTTACATATATTGATGTATGCATCTGTATATATTTTAGTAATCCATTCAATCAATATCCATGAACAATACAAATATGCATTCACACGCGCCTGTATATAGGATAATGTTCTCTTATCAGACTTATGATACAATGTTTGGTCATAAATTTAAAATGCACATTCATAACAATTAATTTAATCAAAATAGTTTAGATTCATCTCACAAGATATATCTTTGTAAAGAAAACATGAAATTTCTAGGTAAAACATCAATTTCATCTTACTCAATAGCAATGGATTTTCCATTGTGAAAAATTGTTTTTTAAGTCCACTCTACCTCTCCTTGACTTTTCATGGTGGCAGAAAATAATTAACAAAAGGCCTTAACTAGTTACCATTTTATTTGTTACTGTGTGTAGAGATTGGAAGTGAAACATGAATCTGATCCTTCAACATACTCAAATATGGTTGAGATTTTGAAAATGGAGGCGACCGAAGGCATTGCAAGAAATGTTACTAGTTCTAGTAGAGCCGTCGTTTGGCTCACCAGGTAATCTTGTTTGCCTCGTCAGGTAATTTAATAAGTACATATTTAATTATTGTGCTTGTACTTGACTAAAATATTTAATTACAACCAACAATCAATAATTTATTCCAAATCTACTGTTACCCAGCTTACTTTATCTATATTAATTTTGTACTTATTTATTCCAGTTACTCATAAATCAAAGTCAGCTTGATTTAATTAACGACAAATATGCATTAGTTTATGGTTTTAGATGATGTGTGAACTGTCATGCAGCACAGTATGCGTACTTGTTTTGGTTTGGAGAATATCTTCTTCTTTTTTATCGCTTAATTTTAATCTTCAAAGTTAACATTATTAGTACAGCTCCCAGTCTTTTATTTTTTTTAGTACAAATGATACTTTAAATACCTCTGATATGCAAATCAATGCCATTTTTCATTGGACTATGCCCGTTGACAGTACAACCCCAACCTTAATCCTCATTTTTATTGTTTATTTTAATGGAAACTAGAAAGCCAGCCAAAGCTAAGCAAGAATTAAACAATTGTCTC